TCCTATATCCTGGGTAATGAGGCCATTAAATCAGCTGGTCTCAGCACATCTTATATAAGAGCAGCTCAGTCTAGGGGCGAGTTGAGTAAACCAGTGCAGAATTTAACCTAGTACCCATCCTGAACCCAGAGTGAGGGAGGTCAGACGTGGACCAAGGTGCCTGATTCTTACAGGCACCTCTTATAACAGGCCCAAAAGAGGCTGGAGGACATGCCTGGGATCTAGGTTGGCCCAGCAACCATCCTTTGTTTTTACCTACACTGTATGTTCATTTGGGCCTGGGAGTCGGGGGAGGCTGATAAAGATTTGGAGGAGATAATGCATGGAGTTGCAGAACTCATGGCAAAAGTTTGGACTTCGGCCTCAGACGTACCTCTCAGGTAGGAGACCCAGCCTTGGCTCTTGCCACCTTTTGTCACTGTGTGCACGTTACCAACCTGATTTACTGCGCCTGCAGAGAGGGGACAGGTAGCTCCGCTGAGTTACTGGGGGCACTGCGTGAAATAAGATGTGTAGGAACTTTTAAAATGGTAATTATTACAATAGTTTCAGATGGAGAAACCCTTTTAGTATCGTTAAGCCTCATCTTTTGATTCCACATGATTTTCTAGAAGGTGCGTTTGCAGTGCCATCTCTGCATCCCAGCCGGCAGGTATTCCCCAAACACGTACTGACGCCGGGTTTCAACCCGGAGGGGACCACGTGGACCTCAAGTGCGGCCAGTAGCTGGACCCGCCCTCGTTCACCCTACCCTGCGAGGCTGGGGCTGGAGGGGTCGCTCTTCAAAGCTGGGCCAGGGGAGCGTTCCCCATTGCACAGAGGACGCAGGCCGACTCGGAGCCCCGCCGCCTTCTCGGTAGAGAACAGCCCCGAAGGAGCCGGGGTTCTTACATAACCTGGATGACGTCAGCGCCGGCGGCTGCCGAGGGGCGGGAGCGGGGGCCCGGGCAGCGGGAGCGCGCGCCCCATGCGGTCCCTCTACCGCAGCGCCGCGGGCTTCGCCACGGGGCTGCGCGGAGGCTCCAAGGAAGGCGCCCCGGGTGGCCGAGGGTGCAGCACGAGCACCGCGCGCCGGGTGGGCCGGGCCGGCCGGCTGTCACGTGGCCAGCCTCGGCGCGGGCGAGCGGGGTTGGCGGGGACGCGCCCGCGACGTCGTCGGGGGACCGACTAAGAGACAGTGGCTGCTGCTGGCGATCAGCCGCAGGCAGACGTGGGGCTGGCCGGCGGGGTGCAGCCCCTCGGGGCCCCCGGACCCACTGACGTCAGGCGGCCCCGGCGCCTCCGCGATCCTGGGCTGTACCTTGCGCCCGGGAGGGCGAGCTCCGGGAACTGCCTTCATGGGGCTGTTTTCCGCATCAGACAGGGCTATTCTAAATTGCTAGCCGAGACTCCGGCTTGGTGCTTTCCTGGGTGTGTTTTTTCTAAGAAAAAGCGGCTTGTGGCCTGTGACCTCTGGCTCCAGCCGGGACATTCCGAGGCGGGTTTCGGAGCGGGTGTCTGCGGGGCACTCAGGTGCGCCTGGTGAACGGGGCTTGATGGCTTTTCCGGCCCCTGCTCACCCTTCCTGTGTCCTAGCCGGCCCTCTACCTCATTGTGGTTTTAAGGGGTGGCCCATTGCGGGGCATGGAGAGAAGGTTTTCATCTTAGAATTAATTAGGTTCACGCAGTGGTTCTCTACCCAGTCTGAACGTCAGAATAACCGCGGGAGGATTGAAAATCCCCCTTTTCAGGCCCTACCCCTCAAGGTTCTGATTCAGTTGGTCTGCACTGGAACCTAGACCGATATTTTGTAACCGCCCCCACCCAGGTGATTCTCATATACAGCCCAGTCATCTGAGCCTTCCGCGCCTTCCTGCGCTAGGGTTTTATCAGTTCCTAAGGCAGCCTGGCCAATTTCCATCTTACCAAGACGGGAGGCAGAAGTCCACGCTCCTCCTGCTCCTCCCTTCCCTCCAGCCCACATCCTTTTGGGGAAAGTGCAGGCCCTTCTCAGGGGCCAGCGCTGCCGAGCAGGGTGGGAAGCGTGGCTGTCAGCACTGGCCCTCTGAATTTAGGCGAATGTGATGGCAGCCTCTTTCTTTCAAAGGGGTGTACTCTGGCAGTGGCCACTGTTTGCTGGGTCTTTCCATGTTACACAGAACGCGGCATGAAGAGCTTGAGTCAGCTTTGCGCCTGCCCAGGGGCAGCAGGCTTCTAAAAGTCTCTCCCTAGACTCTTTCCAGGAGGGGGATGAGGATGCAGACTTAGGTCTCCCTGCTGGTGTGCATTTAGTGATTTGGAGGGAAAGACAACACCTTATTTTGATTCCAGTGGGAGAGTCTGTAGTTTGGGTTTACAGTGCTTTTTCTCAGCACACCAGGATTTTTATAAAGCTTCCCTATATTGAGCCCCTAGGCAGCAGGATCCCTTCACTGTTTTCTAAAGTTGCCTGAACTTAAGAATTACCAGGGGCAATTAAAAAAAAAACAAAAAAAACCAGACAGACTCCTATGCCCGTGACAGATATGAGTGGGACCTAAGAATTCCGTATTGGGTCAGTTGGGGGAAACAGATGCCGGGGAGCTCGATTCCTATTGTCAGGGGTTCAGGAAACACTAAGTACAGTGGTTGCTCAGTGTGAATCAAAATCACCTGGAGGGCGTGTGAGACCACAGATTGCTGGGCCCCACCCTGAACTGTTGACAAGGCATTTCTAACAGGTTGCCAGGTGATGCTGATGCTGCTTGTCTGGGAAGCACCTTTGAGCATCACTGGTGTAGTAGGAGGTGCACTCGGCTGGGTGTTGGAAGAATGGAAAACCTCCATTGGTTTTATCACCTCCATCTTGTGACCTTAGACAAGTCATTTATCTCTGCACTGAAAAATAGGGACTGATATCAAGAGTTTGTGAAGATAAAATGCTTCCCAAAAAAGAGGGCGGGGGGATACAAAATAGCCAAGTCTTATTATTAACAACAGATTGGACCAGGATGGAATCCTTGTGTTGAAGACAAAGGGCCAAGGCACAGGACAGAGGGAGGGTAAGACAGGGCCTGCAGGCCAGCCTGGCACCACCCATTTGGCAAAGCTTACAGCCGGGAGTTGGAGGAAGAGGTTTAATCTACAGGTGCCTCCCTCAGCAAACCTGAGTCTCTAATAGGATCCACATGGTGGCCCAGAGGCCAAGGGCTTCTCTAGCCGGGTGTCACAGAGCAAAGCCTGTAAGCTTCCTGCCTCTGGAGGAGGGGGATCTTTGGGGCCAGGTTCTGGCATGTTCTCTGTGGCCCACTCTTCTTCTGGCTCTGCTGTGGTTTGGGATGCTCCCCACCAGTGCATTCTCCTGGCTAGGCCCCTATTCACTGACGTCCAGGCCCCTGGCTCTTAGGAAATTCTTGCCTCTTCAAGAAAATCCTTTTCACAGTGATCCTGGGACCCACCTCTCATGGGGGAAAACGAATCTTCTAGCTTCATCTTTGGTTATGGTTTAAAATGCTCTCAAAGTTCCTAATGATTTGAAGGGCTGGGGGCCAAATGAGGAACTCAGTTTTGAACACAGAAGCTATTAATGTCATCATTAATAACAGTAATAATAATAGCAATTACTATTTACTGATATCTTAATTTATTCCAAGAGCAGCGATAAATGCCTTACATACATGACCTCTTTTAGGCTGCCCAAGAGGTACCTCTTATTATCTCCTTTCTGCAGATGAGGAGACAGGAGCTCAGAAAGGTTAAGCCAACACCTGAGATCACACAGCTATTAAAAGGCAGAGGTGTGATTTGAACCCAGGCTGTTCCATCCAAAGCCCGTTATTGATATTATTTTTAGTTTCAAGTCAGCCTTTCAGGAAAGCTTTGGAATAGTCGGAAGCCTTGCTTGCCCCACTAACTGGGCCACTAGCAGCAGAAACAATGGGAAGGGCGTTCTCTGAGCTGCCCCGGACATTCAGGCGAGTTATAGATGCTGGGAAAAGAAACATTGCGATGACTGCTCCTGTGGCAGTGACTTCCAGACCAAAGCCACGCTCGTAAACATTCTTTGGCCTCGTCACAGAGTCCAGGACGTGTAATTGGCAGTTGAGCTTTACGAGGGCATGGGGCAGGAAACCAGCTGTTGGCAGTGTGTGTGTAAACAGCATGCATGGGAGGGCACTGGGTTTCTTGTGGACCTTTCAAGGGAAAGACTCCCGTCCTACACTGCAGGCGAGAAATCACTTTGCTCTTTGGGTGAGAGATGCAAGCTCTGAGACCTGGCCTGCTGGTGTGTGGGGAGAGCTCTGCCCTCAAGGCCCCCTCCTGCCAGGCCCCCTCCATTCAGCCTTCACTGCCCTCTGCCAATTTTGTAAGCAGGAAATACTAGGAAAGTAAAGGAAGAAGAGGTACCTCAAAAGGCAGAAACAGTTAAGGAATGCAGGGTTGCATCTATCCAATAGGATGCTTTTGTGCAAATTAGAAAAAGCACCTCCTCAATATGCTTTGCTGTCATCTGCCAGAAACTTGTCCTATGGCAGATACACATCTCCCATCACTGCCATCTGACTGGTGCCCACTAGGGTTGTGCAGCACATGCCCTGTAGCCCTGAAGGAGCCTTCGCACCTTCTGCGGGGGTGCAGAGCTCAAAGAACCCAACCTTCCTCCTCCTTCATTCCCCACTTGCAAATCTCCTCCCCTTAGCTGTGGTCCTTCTACAGTGAGGTCAGGCTCCCTGTCCTGCCACGCAATAGCATGATGCTGATGGCCTCCTAGGCACCCCACCCCCACCCTCAAATGGGATAAAGGCAAAACAATCCATCTATCGAAGGATTTTTTTGGGGGGGAGCACTTCCCAGTATCACAGGCAGCAAAGAAAGGTAGTTTTGATGTCAAATTGTTGGAATCTCCAAATATTTTCAAAAGTTCAGGAAGCTAAGGGTACAGGAAGTGTAGGCCCTGAGAAGATGATATTGTTCATGAGACCAGGGAGGCCAAGGAAGGAAGGAACTGTATGATGTGCTGGGAGAGAGCAATCATGCCCACCCCAGAGCTAGGCTTTCTCCCTGCAGTGGTTTGTATTCCCGGCTCCTTACAGCCATTCTTTCTGTGGGTCTGCTGCTTCCAGGAGTGGCTATGCGTCTGCATCCGAGGACTTTGTCCCTTATGACTTGGAGGTCCAAGTTCCTGGAAGAGTCATCGGAGGGAACAGTGGCTTTGGAAAAGCAACTACCCCTGAAATAGCCAAGTGGGGTGAGCAGCCTGTACCGTGCAGCCAGCCTGTGGCCTGCCCACACTGGGGAGATTGCCCTATGTCACAGGCAGGTCAGGAAGGGCCCGGCTAGCACAGCCAGGAGTCTTGGACAGTGGTCCCGTGGTGATCGGCACAGCTGCCAGCTTTCTAAGCTGTGCATCGAGGCGGACAGAGCAAGTAACTGAAGGAACCTTTCCTCGATACTTGATTAGCGCACAAGAGAGCTTGTGGGCTGGCCACACATCACAATGTTTTCTGATTAAGAGCAGTGAGGGGCTCCAGCCAACCCTGGGCATCAGAGTCACCAGTGGAACTTAAAAAATGTAGATACTTGTCCCTAGCCCATATCTCCTCAATGAGAATGGCAGGTGGGGAGGGTGGATGGGGGGAAATTGGGAGTCCACTGCAATTTGGCTGTGGACCCTCGTTAAGAACCAGCGCCCTCAGAATAACTGGAGAGGGGAGGGGTTGACCTTCCTTCCTCCTTCCTGGTGTCCGGCCCGCAGGGTTAGAGCAGCTGGGCGTGGCCTCCTATTTCTCTTCCCTAACCTTGGTTCTGTGAAGAGGCTTGCCGGGTGCCCCATAAATTATTTAATCAGCCAAAGTCTTCCTCTGGGTAAATGCCAGAATTTCCTGCAAGAACTCAGCTGCCCTGGGTCACCACATGGCACTGTGGTGGCTAGAAGAGCCTCTCCAGAGCCTCTTCTCCAGGAAAAATTGATGTTCCAGCAGAAGTTGGAAAAATAAGTTGGGAATTTATCACTTTTCAAGATGCCCAGGATGTTTTATTTTTTTTCTCTAAAATCGAGCTAGGCATTTTCCAGGGGAATATTATACCATTTGGAGCTGTATTTAATTATCTGCCTAGTCAGGGCGAGGATTAACTGCATCTTAGCAACTGGGAAGTACTCTAAGTGCTGGGGGGAGGGGGGAGGGGGAGGGGCTGGTTACATAGGTAGCTGGAAGCTTCCCGTGAAACAGACCCCGTTTGATGAAGTGGGCTATTTTAAGGGAAGAAAGCAGGCTCTGCAATGACTACTTCTTGACTGCCGCAGCCAAGGCATTCCTCTTCGATAAACCTTAACTGATGATAGTATGGCCTTTGCTGGAATAGTCTGAGTGCCATTTGTGAATTCAACCATCCAATAAATATTTGTTGAGTCCCTGCTCCTTGTTCGGCCAGTGGTTCTCAACTTGGGCTCAACATTAGACTCAGCTGGGGAGCTCTGAAAACAAACCCAGGCCTGGCCCCATCATCTGGAGCTTTAAAAGCTTCCCAGGTGAGTCTAAAGTACAGCCAGGTTGAGACCTCTGTGTCAGGTACCACCAGGAGATGCTAGGGATGCAGATGTGACCAAGACTGACGCTTCTCATCCTTCATGTGTTCAGATCCTTAAAAAAATCAGGACATCATCCCAGAGGCACTGTCAGTCAGACCAGGTATGCAGGAGGGCAGGTTCCAGGATCACCCTCAATATTATGCCTGCTGCTCTAACTGTGGGGAGCATCCATCTAGATTTCCAGAATAGTCTCAATTTCAGGTCTTCTTTCTGTGAGCCATATATCTTAAATTCTTCATTTGGAAAAGCTGGCCTCCATAGCTATAGCCATGACTATAACTCACAGATGATTTCGATGATTTCCACCAGGTGGCACAGTTCACCTGGTTTGTCGAGATCAAGACCGAGCAGAAGGTGCCAAAGGTGAGATCATCAGGGACAGCAGTGACCAGGTGAACTGCTCTTCTCCCCTCCTGCAGGGGTTTCTCGCCTCCAGGGTCAGCTGGGACAGGGCTGGACTCCTGCCTGTGTTCCCTGGGTTGGCGATGGCCCATGTTTGTGCTTCTGCAGTGGAGGCAGCCACAGCCAACAGAGAGCAGGAGCCAGTGCTTCTCAGCAGCAGGGTTTGACCCAGGACAGCGGAGGCACCGAGGTTTGACCCCCTGCTCTGGGTTGCCCATGAAGCCAGCAGGCAGTGGACAGTCCCTGCTGCAGAGGCGTTATACGGGGCAATGGCACTGCAGGGGTTTCCACCCCAGAAGGAGCCCACATCCGTGGGACACATTAAGGGCAACTCAGTTGCTGCCAGCCAGGCTGTGAACTGACCCAGTGGCCTTCCAATAAAGAGGGACAACAAACAACATTTTGGTGATGGTGACAGCCACTTTCTAACAAGAGCTCTCAGACCTGGTGCACATTTTGTGGTCTTTCTCTCCTGAGAGAGTTGGAACCAGGACTGGCTACGTAATTTGTGGGACCCAGTGCAAAATGAAAACGTGGAGCCCTTGTTTAAAATTAAGAATTTCAAGATAGTGAAGGCAGAGCATTAAAACAAGCCTGGGTTCCTTCTGAATGTGAGGCCTGTGTACCTGCACAGTTGTACGCCACGATGCTGGCCCTGGGTGGGAAGTGTAAAGTGGAGCGAGGGGCCCCTCACTTTCACTGAAGAACGTCCTCCTTCCTTCCCACGGGGGTTTCCTCCTCTCTCCTGTGGACCTTCCTGTCCAGCAGCCCCACTTCCGCTGCTGCTCCACTGAGGGGCCCGTGGGAGGGACGTGGGGAGGGGCAGACGGCGCCCCCGCACCCTCAGGCTTGGATTATGGCCAAAGAAAAAAATTGCCCCAAGCTAGAGTAGAATATTTTGCATCTGCTCATTAAGGTTATTAATTTTTTAAAATAGCATTTTCAAAGCAAGTGGCTGTTCCTGCAACTCCTCACCAGACCTCGTGGTCTCACGCCATCCGATGCCTTGCCTTACGGAGGCCGAGTGCTGGCGCACGCGAGGGTGTCTGAAGCTTCCGCTGATGTCCGCAAGTGCCGCTGCAACCCGGAGCCGCAGTTCCCGAGACGGAAGGCTGCCTGTCGCCTGCTGGTAACTTCGTGCCGCCCTGCTGCAGAATGCAACAAGAATACTAGTCCCAGGTCACCGGCAGAGGAGGGCTTGCCTAGATTCCAGCCCGCTGTGGTTTGGGCCATATTTTTTACGAAGCGGATTTATATGGAGGAGGATGACAGTGTGGTTCTGCTTGTAATCTTGAGCCATCCTTATATCCAACTCCACCGTCTTCGGGAAGGATATAGAGCTGAAAGGCGGTTTCCTGGGGTAGGGAGGGAGAGAGGGAGCCCTTCACCTGCTGCCCTCCCTCCCTACCCCCCCCCCCAACACACACACACACACACACACACACACACACACAAGTGGGATTTGAACAGACGCACGGGTAATTTCCCCATCTTTTGTGTGTATGAGTGACCTCCAGCCCTGCGAGCTTGGAGGGCCCAGGGCTGAGAGTGCCTGACTGCTCATCCCCGTGGATGTTTCTCCCCTGACTCAGTGCATCCTCCAGGCGCTGCCAGTGATGCACCGCTCCTCCCTGTTTGTGAAGCGGCGCCACTCCCCAGCTTCAGCTGGTCTTCATTCATAGGCAGCCCCACACGCAAACAGCGTGGGATGTAGAAAGGAGCTGGGCTCTGATTTGAGTCCTGGTTCTGCATCCACTAGTCCTGTGAGCTTGGGCAGTGTTCTTAGCTTCCCTGAACGTCAGTTTCCTCATCTGAAAAATAAGGGTGATGTTACTTTATTCATTTCTGAGCATATAGTTGAGTATGGACCATACGTCAGGCAGTGTGCTGGGAGCTGGAGAGACAGATACAGCCCCTTACAGTCTTGGGGGGATTCAAGTGATTGACAGGCACTTTCAGTGAAGCATGTGGGCCGCCCTGGGCCTGCCTGCTCAGCTCGGAACCACACTGGGGGGTGGGTGGGGGAGCAGATGGTGTGGACCCAGCAGCTCCCATCTCAGCCGGCTTCTAGCTGAGTTTGGCCAATGGGGGTATTAGAGGAAGATCCGTAGGTGGGACGAAGCGGGAAACAGGATATTTGGCTTCCCTGGCAGTGGCCAGGGGACTTCCTGTGTGGTGCTTCCTGCTGGTGGCCACCATGGTTCCTGGGCCGAGGTCACACCACCTCCTCTGTTGTTCCTCCAGCCTAGGGCTGCCAGGAGCTTCCTGCTGTTACTGATCTCTGGGAGACGTCTCCAGTCCCAGTGCAGTTCTCCTCTCGTTTCATACCCTGGGAAACCAGGTTTATCCCTGCATTTAATTCCCTCTATTGAAAGAAGTTTCTGTTAGATGCTGACTGACTTAACGTGGTAAGAGCTAAGACATGGGAAGTTCAGGGTATCATAGAACGTATAGCTCTCAATCAGTAGGAGAAGCTATTATTATTGGTGTTATTGGTATTGTTTATACTAATATTATTACCACTCCCAACCTTACGTTCTCTGCTTCGAGCTCCCTAGTTCTCTTTAATCAGTGCTTTGGCCCTGCCTCCATGGGAGCTGGAAACTGGCATGCTCCCAGAAGCACGAGAGGTGTGAGGCAGAGCAGTGAGGACACTGGAGGGGCTGGTCCTGGCTGCGTGGTTGGGTGGACATCGAAGGGCAATGGTCCCTTGGGCAGGAGGGCCTGGGGGTAGTGAGTGGCAGGCCAGCTGAGTCAAGTGAGCGTAGGCAAGCTGGGCCCCCAGGAAGGCTCAAGGTCACGTGGGAATCAGCTGCTCGTACACACTGGCTTGGTAAGATCAGGTGTGTGGACTGTCCTGCCAAGGTGCTCTTTCTAGAGGGGGCGTGTGTGGCCCCAAGCTTGGGGGAGGAGTGCTTGTTGTCACAGAGCAGGCTCCCTGCTCACCAGCCCACTGTCTCTGGCGCAATGTTCCCCATGGGCCTGGGGGAGAAAGTCAGAGTGGACCCTCCTCAAGCTTCTTGTTGTAGTTCATTACCATCTAGCCGCCTGGATAGAAGGGCACCACACTTGTCTGGCAGTTATCTCCTTGGGCAACATTTAAAAAAAAAAATAACCTTTTAAATTTTAGAATAGTTTTACATGCACAGAAAAGTTGTGAAAATAGTACAGAGTTCCCATTTACCCCATACCAGATTTTCCCTTTGTTAACACCTTATATCAGCATGATTCATTTGTTACAACCAATGAATCAATATTGATACATGATTATTAACTAAAGTCCATTCACATTTTCTTAGTTTTCACCCAATGCCCTTTTTCTGTTCCCAAATCCCAACCAGGATCCCACATTACATTTAGTCGTCATGTCTCCCTAGTCTCCTCCTGGCTGTGACAGTTTCTCAGACTTTTCTAGTTTTTGATGACCTTGACAGTTTTGAGGAGTACCAGTCAGGTGGTTTGTATACTGTTCCTCAATTGGGGTTTGTCTGATGCTTTTCTCATCGATTAGACTGGAGCAATGGGTTTTGAGGAGAAAGATCACAGAGCTACAGTACCCGGGCAACATTTAACTCCTGCCACACTCCCGATGTGGCTGGAAGGTGCTGTCAATGTGCCCTATGTCTTGTGGGGATTGATCCCGTCAACATCAAAGCACCAAGATGAAAAACAGGTGTTTCCACTCTCCAGCTCTCCCAGGCCAACATGGAATTCCAGCTTGTGGAGAATGGTTGAGTTAGCTTCCCCAGTACTCAACATGAATATTAACTACCACCTTGTACCTACATGGTGGTTTCTACTCCTGAGGGCACATTCATCCACTGTTTCCCATTTGCTCATCACACTCACCCTCTGACGTTGGTAGAGGGGTTCCCATGATGTCACCTCGTGAGTCCTGGGCCCCACAGCAGCTAGATGGTATCTCTTCCACAGAAAGGAGCCCTGCTGAGCTTTGTCCCATCTCAATAACAGCACTTGTACCCCAGGGTTTAAAGAGTGAGGACAGTGGGGCCTAGTGCTCCTAGGGCCAGCATTGTCATCTGTGGACCAGCACATCGGGGATTTTTATACACATATGCCTGCTCCTGGTTCCTTCTCCTGATCACAGCTGACCGCTGCCTTCTCCTTCTGGGTGCCCTCTGGCTTCCTGTTTTCTCCCAGAGGGAGAGAGATGATCTCCTTGCCCTTTTCATGATGCTTCATTTCACCAGGCTCCGTGGTTGATTTGTCTAGGGCAGTGATTCTGTCTTCCCTGCTCCTACCTCTTTTTAATTCTGAGACACTTCAGGTGCTCCTAGAAAGCTTAAGCAGGTTGTAGAATGTCCAAAGTGGAACTGAGTCTAGTTCACTTGAATTTTGTTGGTTTTTGAACCTGGATTTTGTGTGATCACACAGCACTGTTGGGTGGGAGGGCGTCTGGGGCTGGTTGGGGGAAGGTGTCAGATGAAAGGGTCAGGGTCTAGACTCAGTTTGCCATCGTGGGTAGAGGCTCAGGGCCGGCCCAGGAGTGAGTCAGCAGCCTGTGTCCGCTCTGGCTGGGCGAGGACCTTCAGAGTCTTTTTAAAAGAGTGTGGTCCTGTACAGACAAGGCTTTTCCTATCCCTTGAAGGTGGAGGAACACTCAGTTGTGTCAGACTTAAGCTGAATATGGTATTCAAGCTGACTACAGACCTTCTGAGTCACGAAAATGTGGGGTTGCTTCTGTTTTCTCATTCTCTGAGCCTTTGTCTCAGGGTGAAAAAACAATGTTTTGAGATCAGTAGAAAGAAATTCTGACTACAGCCTTGGGTTCTATGGCTCGATTAATGGGGAAACTGAGGCAGGGCACTGAACTCTCTGCTTTATCCAAGGAATTGTGGCTGTTGCTCAGCATCTTGCCTGTGGATTCAGTTCTCAGGTCCCTGCAGCAGCAGAAATCTCTGCCTTGAGTGGGTGATAAGTCACTGATGCCTGGCGGAGCTCAGTGGGGTATCCTTGCGTTCACTAGAGACTGAGGATACAAGTCTGATTCGTGTGCTGGGGACAGAGATACATTGTGTCACTTACGTGTATGGCTGTGTGAACCCCATAAAGGAAAAGGGGGATATTCCACATGGCTCCTCCATCAAGGAGTTCTGAGTCTACTGGGGGAGGGAGCTGCATCCAGAGATAACTGTATCACAAGGCAGGAATTGATGAGCGTCATAAACAAGGACTGAGTCACAGAGGAAGTTGTCATCTTATAGTTATAATGTGCCTTAGGAATTGTCTTAAGAGCAAAATATTGACAAAAACCCCTAAATGATTGGCAGCAGGAAACGATGACACATCCATGCGAAAGTATGTTACGTATCCATTAAAAGATAGACTTATATACAACAAAAAAAATCTCCAAAAACATATTGTTAAGTGAAAAAGAAGGATATAGAACCAGGTATAGTCTGATCTTATTTATATGGAAAAGGACACACATACATACACACATATATTTTATATATATGTATAATGCTTTAAATATATAATATGTAATGCCTATAAATATTGTATGTGCTTAAAATATTTCTGGATGATTCACAAGAAACTGTGAGCAATGGTGTACTTCTGAGAAATGAGACTGTTACTTTGATTTTGTATCATTCCAAACTTTTTGATTTTTAAAACCATGTACTAGTATTTTATGCTCTTTTTTTTTTTTTTTTTTTTTGCTGCAGAAGATTAGCCCTGAGCTAACATCTGTGCCAGTCTTCCTCCATTTAATATGTGGGTTACTGCCACAACATGGCTTGATGAGCGGCATGTGGGTCCATACCTGGGATCCGAACCCATGAACTTGGCCTGCTGAAGTGGAGCACGCCGAACTTAGCCACTATGCTGTGGGGCCGGCCTCTGCTTATATCTTTTTTTTTTTTTTTTAACAAAGCTTTACAACTTTTTTTGTTTTCTAGTTTAGAACATCTTTCTGCACATTGTGGACTTGTCTGATCCCAAGAAAACTGGAAATTTGTGGAAAATTTCAATCAGGAACATAAACTCAATGTTCTGGTAAGCTTTGTAAGTGTAAGTAGAGGATAAATCTCATGTGTGTACATTTCTCGTCTATGTGCATGTGGACTGATATATACGTTTGTGGATCTCTATGCCAACATCTTAGAATCTTCTATGGTGAGGCTTGTTCATGTAATCAAGTTTACTTGTTGGATTCAATCTAAACAGCATGTTGGTTAGATTTCTGGGGAAAGGAAGGGACCATCCACTGGGTAGGTACTGTGGGAGGATGAGGATGTTCTGTTTTTCAAAAACTCATTTAGGGCTGGCCCAGTGGCGCAGCAGTTAAGTTCACACATTTTGGCTTCTCAGCGGCCTGCGATTCGCAGGTTCGGATCCTGGGTGCGGACGTGGCACCGGTTGGCAAAAAGCCATGCTGTGGTAGGCGTCCCACATATAAAGTAGAGGAAGATGGGCACGGATGTTAGCTCAGGGCTAGTCTTCCTCAGGAAAAAGGAGGATTGGCAGTAGTTAGCTCAGGGCTAATCTTCCCCCCCCCAAAAAACAAAATTGATTTGTATATCTGTATTCCTGAGCTCTGTAGATTTGGGAAGTGGTATATTAAAATCAGAGGCTCAGGGAAAAACAAAAATAAGAAGCTTAGTCCAAAAGAACACTTGCTGTGGACACGCAAATCTTTTAGTAACAGTCAGAACTCCACAGAAAGCCAGGAGGACCCAGGTGGGATGGTGCCTGTCTGCTCCTCCCAGAGATCCCATTTTGAGCTGAGCTGCTTTTCTATCTAAGTAGTTTCTAACGTGCTCCAAAATGTCTGTTTGGGCCAAGGTCTGGTCTTGCACTGTCCAGTATGGTTATGGAGCATTTGCAATGTAGCTCATCTAAATTGAGATGTACTGTATGTGTAATGATCAGCTGATTTTGAAGACTTAGTGTGAAAAAATTAAACTATCTCATTAATATTTTTTTTTCCTAGATTGGCACCTGAGCTAACATCTGTTGCCAATCTTTTTTTTTCCCTTCTTCTCCCCAAAGCCCCCCAGTACCTAGTTGTATATTTTAATTGTGGGTCCTTCTAGTTGCGTCATGTGGAACGCCACCTCAGCATGGCCTGATGAGTGGTGCTGGGTCAGCGCCCAGGATCTGATCTGGTGAAACCATGGGCCGCCAAAGCGGAGCGTGCAAACTTAGCTGCTTGGCCACAGGGCCGGCCCCTCATTAATATTTTTATATCGATTATGTGTTGAGATGAAACTATTTTGGATGTATTGAATTAAATAAAATATAGTATTAAAATTAATTTTACCTGTTTCTTTCTACCTTTTCAATGTGGCTACTTTCAAGAAAATTTAAAATGACATTCTTTCTATTGGACAGCGCTGGTCTAGGCGAATTCCCAGAGCATTTTATTGTGAATTAGGTTGCCCGGCCAAGTCCTTGTAATTAGAGATCTCTGCATAGTTCTGTGGCTGAGCCTGCAGCACAAGTGACATTTTCCTGGATGGGGTTTGGAGTGAAGGGACAGTTGGGCAGAATTACCCTCACTTGATGCGGGGCTGGTGAAGGCGGTGGGGGTGTGGGGTTTGGGAACTGATCCCTTGGCCCTGTTTTCCTTGTTTTTTGAAGTCATAATTGTAATTTCTAGATCAATAATGCATAGTCAATAAAAGAGAGCTCACAGAAGATGGACTTGAAAAAAACTTGGCTCCCAAGACTGTGGGTAAGTGTAAGCAGTTTTCTTGTTTGTGTTTGGCAAAAGAACCAGACATAGATGACACCATAGAAGGATCAGAAAGATGGGTCAACCTTTTGGGTTCTTGGTCCCTGGCGTGATTGCATTTGCTTTAAGTGTATCCTTCACTGCATTCATTTTTCTTCATAAAACACTCTCTCTTGTCATGTTTTTCATAATGTGTATTAGTGCCAGAAATACTTTGTATTGTTAAAGCATTATTTTCTAGGAAGCTCAAGGCTCATCATAGAATTATTTGGGAGGGCAGAGCAAGTTCATCTCAGGTGGAGAGTGAGATGAACTTGAATATGAAAACTGTAGCCAAGGGAACTTCCAGCAGAACTGAGGAAGGCACAACCATGAGACAAGGAGATGGAGCAACAAGGGCATTCAGCCAGAACAGAGGACACCTGGATTCTCGGTCCCGCTCTGTGCTAACAGGCCGACTGATTTTACACCGGGCCAGTGGTTCTCAGATTCATCTTCCTCGACCAGCAGCATCAGCATCACTGGGGAACTTGGTAGAAATGCACATTCTTGGGCCTCACCCTCAAATCTACTGAATCCAAAACTCTGGGATGGGGCAGAGAAATCTGTGTTCTGAAAAGCCCTCCAGATGACTCTGATGCACACTCAATTTGAGAACCAAGGTACCAGGCTTTTAACCTTAGATTTTCTCCTTGAACCTAGGGGTCTGGAGTAGATTATTTCAGTGCCTTTCACCTGGGAGATACAAGGAATCTAAGATTCTCCCCAGTATCTATACCACTTCCTTACAGTAAGTTAAGGTTTTAATGGGGCATTTTAATTAAATATTGTCCTGAGTCACAGGGTGGATGGCAGGGGTTGATGTGGTTGTTGGGGTGGTTGAGGGTGTCCATTAAATAACAACCCTCTTCTCACCCAAGAACTGAACCAACTGAGGAGTAAGACAATGGAATAATAGCAAAATATCACTGCTCTCACTGGTAAGACTAGTTGAAGGGCATGGCTCAGTCTGAGCCAAATGGGTTCCTTAACATCAAACTCCAGAATTAGACAGACTCACTTACTTTGTTGGCTGGCCTAGGACAGCCACCACCATCTCCTCCCCAGGAATAGGGGAAAGCGGGAGCGGAGCTGAGCATGCACAGCTGATTGTTCCAGATTGACTCAACTGATTATGTAAGCCCTCCACCTCCCTAGATGGAGGGAGAAGGGGTTGAGAGAGGACAGCATCACACTCTTTGCATTCTGTCCACGAGGAAGGAAACATCAGGAGAGGGGAAGAAACTTTCTCCTTGGTGGTGAGGGTGCATTTTTTAAAACCAATACCTGGAAGTGTGCTATGAAATGGTGCAGATTTGGTTCAAGTATTTCCATCTTTGATTTTGCTCCAAATGTGGTATCATTGCCAAAAGTCCCAAAAGTACCCAAATGTGGGGGCATGCAGAGGTTTGCCTTCTAACTCGGTTGGATGGCAAAGACTCCTAGAGTGGCTGCTCAGCAGAACTGGCTTCATGATTTGTGGGGCCCAGTGCCAAACAGCAATGTGGGGCCCCTGTATTCAAAAATTATTAAGAATTTCAATACAGTGACAACAGAGCATTAAACCAAATGCAGGGCCCTTAGAGACACAGCACCTGTGGGACTGCGCAGGATGAAGCCAGCTTGGCTGCTTTCCCACCCACCTATCCACCATCCTGCAAAATTCTCGTGGGGGTTTGCTGCGTGCTGGGCCCTCGTGAGTGTTGTATATATGTCACTTAACCCTCATGACCCTATGATGGAGGTGTTCCTACCTGTTCATTACAGATGAGAAAAGTAGAATTGGGAGAGCTTGTATCACTTGCCCAAGGTCAAGTGGAGGGGCCAGAATTTGAACTCAAGTCTGCCTTCCTCCACAGCCCAAGTTCGTAACCAGGATGCAATTCTGCCATTGCTTCCTCAAACTCATCATTGTATCATCGTGAAATAAGTGCTAAGGGAGCACTGGGAGGGGAGTGACCATACATGCCAGAGGAGGATGGGCTGGAGGTGCTACTTAGAGGGCCATCTGGGACTCGTTGCGAGAACTGAGAATGTGGACAGATGTGATAGCCTCTGGGGGGACTGACTCTTTGATTACATGGCTGGTTATGTTGTACTTCTGTATGCATCTAGTCTGCTCCTAAGGACCTTGATATGCCTTCATTTTCATTTCCTATTTGTGTTGGAAACATTTTATTGATCTTCCCAACCTCTCTGAGAAGCATAATAACTCTCATGCTTTGATATTTATTCATCCTCTCTGGAGTGAGAGACACAGCACAATATACAAAGAAGCATGTCGGTGACGGAGGGGGCAGCTTAATGTGTCTCTGCTTCACAGATGAGGAGACACAGAGAGGTTAAAATATTGTCATTCTTAAGCAGGTCTAGAGCCAAATGAACAACCCAGACCTCTGTCTGAGTCCTAGGAAATTGCTGGCTGCCGTTCTAATATGAAACACGTTTTCCTGGCCCGATTATGTAATGTGGGATAGGTTGTTTTCTGTTTTCTAAGATTCAGTTGAGTCTTTAGAAACATTTCCAATAATTCCCAACCAAACCTCAGTAGGTTCCAGACACTCAGAGGACGGGACAGACACCAGTATTTGCAGAATTTATCACCAGATCCTAGGGGTTTGGAAGCTGGAGATTAGTTAAATGTGAGATATCGTCAGAGCCCATGCCTGCACATGGCTGTTTGTGGAGATATCATAGTATATGAATTAGATGAAGTTTGGAAATAATTCTTAACATTCTGTGGGGGTGGGTGGAGCGCGGAGAGATTCTGGTATCTCAGGAGACAGATTCTGTTTGGTGCTGTTCTCGCCGCGCCTTTTGGGTCTTCTCAAATCATATACATTTTGCCTGTTAGCATTCAGTGGCATTGAGAGTCCGCGAGGAGTGAAGACAGATGGGAGGGGAGGAGAGGTTGTGCTAAGTGCTCTGCTGGCAGCCTGCCACAGCCTGAGCGCTCGCGGATTAAAACTCTCACCCACATCTTAGCCTTGCTCACGCCACAGGACGCAAGACGCAGACACTGATTCCACCTCCTCCAGGACAGCTGCGTCATCAATTAATAGACTGTAATAAACAAGCAGTGGTGCCTCAGCTCTTTGGCAGAAGGTGGGGGAGTTCAGTTTAGGTCATTTTGGAAGGACACATATTAGTATACAGTAAATGTTCTGTCACTTGACATTCTGTTATTTGGAGCTCTACTCACTGGCATATCCCCACAGCCAATGACAAGTCCTGTATAAAGCAGGGACCCAAGGTCCAGAAATATTTTAATAATAATAATGATCATAATAATAATAATAGCACATGCTGAGCACTTCCCATGTGCCAGGGGCTGCACCAAGTGTTTTTTCTGGGATTATCTTATTCAATCCTCATAACTTGACAAATTTCACAGACAAGGAGACTGAGGGTCAGAAGTAGTCTGAAACTAGAGTCTGTGACTCGCCTTCCTAGACAAAGGACAACGAAATCATAGCTGGTGCATTTCCAGGATAGGGTTGTATCTGACAGCTGTGGCTATATAACAAAACTCCAAAATCTCAGAGGCATACAATGCTGAACATGTATTTTTTGCTGGTTCTTATGCAAGTCCGCTGGGTGGCTATTCTCAGCTGAGCTCAGAGGGGTGTCTCTAAGCAACAAGTTGGATGTGGATCGTGTTTTGCATTTTCGCATCCTCCTTCAACTGTTAGGTTGGCCAGAGTATGCTCCAATGGCAATGGCAGAAGCCCAAGTGTGCAAGCACATTTCCCACCCCAGCTTGATTCACGTCTGCTAACATGCAATTGACCAATGCAAGTCATTTCAAAGAGCCCCAAATCAAGAATGAGGGAAGCATACTCTGCCCATGGAGGTGGGGAAGAGGGGGTGGATATTGTTGAATGATAATCTCCCACAAGGTCAATTTTATTATATTCTAATTCTTTGGAAAAGGGTCATCTGAGTTTGATGTGATAGTTATTTATTATCCAAAATATTTAATACACAAAATGCCTTCTTTATTCAATAAACATTTATAGAGGGCCTACTATACACCAGACACTGTGGTCAGTGATGAGGATTCAGAGATTAAAGGGACTCCTGGCCTAGTGGGGGACTTAGACACATAAACAACTTCAGTAACCATATGGTAAGTCCTCTTGTCATCCAGGAGGGAGCTAGGGTACGAAGCCTTAGAGGAACAGTGCTTCCAGGGTAGAATGTTTCCTTACACACTATGTTTGGTGCCAGGCATTCTGACTTGTCAATCACCTATACCCTGAGCTTTACCCACACACCATTTTGCTCCTAAGACCTCCATCCAGTGCATAAACCTTCAAGATTCCCAGAGAGACACAGTATCTAGGAAATATAAGTACTGTAGAAATGACAGCTAATACTGTTTTAACATCCAAATCCATTAACCTGGAATTGAAGTCCTTTATTATTATACCCCAGCCACCTACTTGTCCAAACTGCTTCCCATCATTTCCCTACGTGGTTCCTCTGCCTGTGAGCCCGTTAGTTTTGGAACATGCCCCTAGCAGTTTGGAACATACCTCCAGGCTTTTGTCCCGGCTGCTCCTCTGCCTGGAATGCCCCCACTTTCACTTCTCCTCTGTGACTCAGCTGGGCACACCCCAGCCTGGAGCTTGATCGCTGCTCCTCCTCTTGGCTCTGTGTGTCTAAGCACAATAGAAATCACCTGTTGATCAATGGGTTTCTTGCATAGAGCATGGATCCCTGAGGGAAGACCTGCCTGACCCTTAGGAGGAGCTCATCCTCTTTGGCTGAACTGAGCTGACCTTCTGGGTCTACTGACTGGGTCCACGGCCTGGGTCCAGTTCCTCCAGCTCTATGACTATGTGCAAATTGCTTAAACCTCCCCAAGCCTCATGTTCCCATTTTGTAAAATGAGGATAAATGATGCTTTTATAGGCTAGAGGTGAAGATTAAAGAAAGAGTTGTAAGTTATTTACTCA